AGAGAAGGGTTTGGGGGAGGGGGGTCACCCAAATGTTTACACATGGTGTGGGTCCTCCTAATCCTCCTCTACAGCCTCAGGCAACTTACCCACGACCTTCAGAGACACTATGAAGATGCATACCGACAACCTGGCTAATGACACAAATCTATGACACACACCTGAATGTGAGTGTGTGTGTTTGAGATGTGATCTTCTGTCTTTGATTGAAAGCGACAAGACGTAGAGAGGCCTTCCCTGACCTTGTCTCACCCAGTCAGATTCCAGCAACAGAAACAGACAGACAGCAATCTCTCATTTAAAAGCCTGCAAAAATGGCGACCATCTCACACGTAGATGCCAAGACTTTTGGACCTTTAACCTCCCCTTCCCCCCGCTTTACTCTGCCACCATAACAACTGCAGTCAGATAAGCTGACACACAGGAGACAGAATAGTAAAGACACAAAGGAGCTATTGACAAACTTATGGAAATAACCTGGTCTAATTATGGTGCTTTGTCATAAGTCACAAAAGCTAAGTCGGCCAAGGATCCAACACGCAGTGAATCCAGAAAATCTCATAATTAGTACTTTCTGACAGATGATGGCTATCTGTATGCAATGAGATTTTAAGAAAAGGAGTGTTGATTTAGGATGTTTTGGCAGGTTATATTATCATGTGAAAAGTTAAATCCAACACAAAAAGACACTGACAGCTTACAGTATGTTCCTTGGTCAGTGTCCCCAAAAACCCACCTTAGTCTATAAAATCTCAGACAATATGTCCATCACAGTATCTCCGAGCCCAGGCTGACAATGCTGGAATGAGAAGCCAATTGTTGACAATATTGCTTGATAAACAACTTAAATATTCAAAGGGTAAGGCTAGTGGTTTTCCATGTTTTTCTTGTGGTCAATGAATCCTATAAAAGACCTCCTATCGCATTTACATAAAGCTCCAAATTCAGTTTAGAATTTAGTTTTCAAATTCAGTTTCAACTCAGAGCCACTCATCCTGGGGATTCTAGGCTACAGTAGAATAGAGGAGCTCTAATTCAATTCAATTTGGAACTCCACCAAAAATTTATATAATCCTCACAAGTTGAAACATGAATTCAATGAACTTTCAAACATTAGTTTCAATTTCAATCTTTTATATATAATTTAAGGTTTGCAAACAATATTCAGTTTGAACATTTGAAATTCAAGGCTATTAAATTCAGATTTAATTTGTGCTGGCACTAAAATAACTAGTTTATTTTCAAGTTTATTTTTAGTTTATCAACACTTACAAGTACAGCACCAAATGTGCATTACTCCTCAGTTGAAAATAGTCCCAAGTGATGCACCGTTTCTTCCTTTTTGAATAACTACAGATTTAGCCTTTATCCAAAATGAAACTTTATTTGTGACAAATTCTTTAAGATTTACATTTTCTATATGAACTAGTGTGTTTTAGGCTGAGCGCCAAAGACAAGATACGGAGGTAGGAAAGTATTGAACTAATGCACGGTTGGTTTTGGTCTTTTCGTGAGACTTGTTGACTATAAGAAAATAAAAAAATATCACCAACAATATCCTTTAAATGTTTAAGCTGTTTATCAATGAAAAATGCCAAACCTTGTTCTTTGATCCATAACTGGTGTTTCATTTTCTGTTGATTGACCTTATCAGCACTACAAGCTTTGTAGTAAATGAGTAACATTAAAAGAAGGTGTGCCATTAATGTATCTGCTGTAGTGTCATTTCATTTTTTGTTGTTGTTGTTTAAATTCATTGAAAAGTGGGAATCTGGGTTTCCTGTACTCAAACTGTCAATCAGAGCACTTTGATACTAAACTGAACCTTTGCTACTGAGCTCTCAAGAGGCTGACCTACTTTACAACAAATTGCTGATGCATCTCTTGCATTCATCTATTACTGTATTCACTCGCATTCTCTTTCTCGGTTTTCTAGCTCTCTGCTCCACTTTTTCCCAGGTGAGCACCAGCAGTCCCACCCCCCCTTCTTGCTTTTATTATCTGGACAGGTATGGACAAGCCATCCACCGGGCTGCTTGTTGTTTTGAAATGTGATAGGGTAAAAGTGGAACACGCCTAACGAGCTGACCGTCCAGGAACAATTCCACTTTAGCCCAGAGCTAAAGCTATAAACTATTCAAACTCTGAATATCAGCAGTGTCATCAGGGTGAAAGCGCTGAATTCAAAGAGAGCTAAACGCCATTGTAGATGCTGTAAAAAAAAGCAAAGAGGAGCTGCTGCTGTTGTACTTGAGTGCAACACCTGGTTTGTGTGGAGTTTCTTTGTTCCAGAAGAGGCTCACAAAACTAACATTTTAGTGAAGAAGCAATATCTACTGAGCCAGAATCGTTATATCCCACACAAATATAAATGTGAAATGTGAATGTATTGGCCAAGTCACAATGTGAAATAACCTGACTGCTACAGTGCTAGACAGGTGTGCAGCAGAGGGAGTGCTTGGCACACATCGCCTCAGGGTTCTAGTTTTAACCTTCAAGTATGGGCAAAATATTCGGTGACGCACAGATTAACTAATAATCTGTGTCACACTAATAAAAATGCTTTGTGCTTTCAATGTGATCTCTGGTCGTCTCAGAATATCTGCTTTGTTTACTTACAAGTCACAGCCATCACATTACTATATTAATGAGTAAGTGAATGCACAGGTTTCTAACTCAGTAGGTGGTCTATTTTATGGTCCAGGTTTGAAGACAAGTTCATGTTCAAATTCAGAGGCATCAACCTCCAGATGAAACCTTCTGACACACAGAGACACTTTTCCACATTCCCTGGATGACTCTGCAAGCTCATTCCTCTGAAATTGACCACTAAACCGAGGCAGAAGGCAAACAAAGAAGCCCAACTATACACGTGCATGAACAAGGGCTGCTATTATGGGCTATTAAGGCTGCTGCTATTTAGGCCACGAACCAAAAAGCTAAGAAAGTGACAGGGCCTCCTCAAAATATCAGTGTCACTGATGTTTAAAAGGCGGGGTTGCTTTCAGTCACTCAATGCCTAATGATTTTAGCCTAGTTTTAAGAAAAATAGGTCAGTGCAAAACACAGAGCAGAGACGGTCAGCTGAACATGAAGAGAACAGGGAGCATTCCCCTGCAAGGTTAGCTGGGGAAGTAGAGGGAAGTATGTGATTGAAGGAAGGTGAGGTGTGGCATCCTGGATCGCCTTCTCACAGCATATACATACACATACATGCTCAGACAGCCTCTGTCTGAGTGGCAGGTGATGGGGCAGGTGCTCTCCAGACATACAGTTGTGGGGGAGGGAGTAAGTGGGAAGAAGGAAGGGCCCTGTGGTGAGATGAGTTATAAATCTGTATGTGATATGAGCAGGCATGCGGAGGGAAATCAATGTACAGTAGTGTGCTCCCAGGCTAGAAATTCAATCACAGCTAGTCAGTCATATCTCCTTTTTACCAATGCGACAACTATTAAAAAATACTATTGTTATCAGAAGTCTACTACCATACAGGGGATCTTCAGCCTGTAATAAAGCGCAATAAAACAGTTCAAGGTCCTGATTTATGCTTTGTGCTGGTACACGTCTACCCAATGTGCAGGTGGTGCATTTGAGTCAGACATACTGTAGTAAATCAGATAATCCAGAAAACACCTACAGCTATCTATTTCTGCTCCAGCCAAAATATGTACCTCCAGACTACCCATGCACACAGACACACAGCAGCAAACTCACATGACAATACACTTAGTCATCAAGAACGGCAGACAGAAAAGGCAGCCATCACCTCAGCCAGCCCGCTCACTGATGGAACATGGAATGGATTGATTGGAGGATGTTAAGAAAAATTCTGGAAAGTGGTCATTTGGTTCAGATGTGGGTCACAATTGCCACACTGAGAAGAAGGGTGCCGCTTCCCCGGATTTTAAAATCTTTACCAGGCTACTGAATGTTATAATTGCATTGTTGTTTATCCCTCGCAAAGGAGTGTCAACAACTCTCAACAACTCTGACCAGCTGGAGACTCCACACGAGTGAACAAACAAACAGTGAGACAGGCTGAAAGATAACCCAAACCACTGTGTACAGCTTCTGGGAAACACACATATGTACATGAATGCACGCACACGCACACACACACACACACGCGCGCACACACACACACACACACACACACACACATCCAGGTACACTCCTCAGCAAACAACCCAAGGCTCTGTCTTTGCCTGAAGTTATAGGTAGAGAAGGTGTTTAGTTATTATGCTAAAATGTCAAATGAAGGAGAACACAGAAGAGTGTGTTAGCTGTGGCACCAAGTTTCAACCATGTACAGTTTTTAACAACCCCTCATCCAACATACTCAAGACATGCACTTACCTGCCCCGCTCTGCAACAACTCATTGCTGCACTGTAACCATCACATTGAGCGCTCACCTCACTCTGCAGTGCCTAGGGAGCAGCTGTAAACATTATTGATGCAAGCAGCTACCTCTTCCAAGAGAATAAATGAATAGTGAAGCTGATGATCCCGCTGGCAGGATTCATGCATCTAATTGCAACTTTTGTCTTGCAGCACATGGACGACGGGAAAACAGTCACATTTGTTCAGTCACAGTCACAAATGCCTATGCATTTACTGAAAATATTTATTTAACATGTTGGTTTATTCAGTAGAGAATATATATATATAATCCGGGCAATAATATATATCCAGGCAAACAGAGTTATGTTTGTCACCTGATAATCCATCTCATAGTTGCTTCCTAAATCCCATATATCCCTACCTTTGTTATCAGAGCATATATGCTGTCAGATAAATGCAATGCACCTGACAAGCTGCACAGCACAAGTGCACCACACAAAGCACAGCGTGCACTCTCAGGCAAATAACCAAGCCCAACTTTCACTCCCAGCAGCAAAAGTTGGCAAGGTATTGACACAAACTTGGAATGTGAATGTATTTCTCTGCTTTGTTCATTTTTGTGTGAAAGAGTTATTGTCGCTGTTTTTCAGTACCGTACCTCATTGGTGTTAGCAGCCTAGTGTGTGAGCTGGATGGTGGCCAGCAGCAGTGTGTGAATCCAGGCCATCCCAGGGTCAGGCTGAGCCACTCTACTATCCATTGCTACCTTGTGTTCCTCCCGGCTTCTTTCCTCCCTTCTCCTCCCTCAGCTCTTTTTCTTAAACGCAACTCAGACTTTTCAAATCAGTGCTCTTCTGCCTGGTTCTTCTCTTTCTTCTTCTTGTTCTCCGCCTCCACGAGGAAAACAAAAACAGGTTGAAAAACAGCCACCACTTGCTGCTCTCAGAGCTACTTACAATGCAGATCCCCTCTCTAAGCTCCTCTGCTCTCCCTTCCCTCTCACTCCTTTTCCCTCCCTCCCTCTCTCTCTGCTACTGTTGGGGAAGTACTCTCTCAAATTCTCCTCCCCTCTCTTGCCCTTCCTCTTACTCTAATAGTTATTTAGTGTCTCATTTCAGCACCTGCTTTGAGACAGAAAGAGACAGAGAGGAGGGAGCAGACAGAAAAATGTTGCTCCTCATTGGGAGTGTGTACAAGTAAAAATGTACACGTGCATGTCTATGTGATTGCGTGGGGGTCTACTTTATCAGCAAAATAATACGCACACACAATACATGTGTGTTCACGTACTGTGTTGTTTTAATTGGTGTGGTGTGCACTTGCACATTCAAATTCAAAACACATCCTTGCATGCAAAAGCGCACATTGCATGTTAGTCTTTGTGCATGTATGTATTTACATCACTACGCATACAGACCCATTGCTAGAAATGCTTGTCTGCGTGTGCCTGCTGCAGCTTTCATTACACGTCAAACTGGGAGTTGGTGACAGAAAGAAGCTGCTATGGCATGCTTGAACTCTTTCATCCCTTTCAACGCTCACCGCTTTCTTCTGTATCAACTATGTTCACTAATCAAACATGAACAAGAATGGTGGTGGGTGGTTGTGGGTTGGGGGGGGGGGGGGGTTAGGTTACCTCAGGACACTAGCTTAGTCAGCAGTGGTGGTTGTCTAATTGTCCCACTTTTTGTCAGAGGAAAACAGGTCACTAAATGCTTTAGACTTGTTTGTGATTTTTCTTTTGAATCACCAGTCTCACTGAGAAAGAAACATTTTAAAGTGGATAAAATGTGGAATGTACAATAAAATATTATTACTTTATTATTGTATTATTACTATGTTAACCCCTAATATTACATTTGTCCTTTCATTTCCAGACGGAGCACACAGCTGGTTTCAGTAGAAAAGACTTAGTGACTAGCTAGTGAATGTATTAGAGCATTTAGCAGCTAAATAGGCACTGATATCTCCCTCGAGAGTTGGTGGTGACCAAAACAGAGTCTAAAGGAGAGTGAATATTGGACCTGCTTTCACCACATGGCCAGAAACACGACTCCAAATGAATGCTAATGAATGCTGTGTGTAGGCGATGTTTACTAAGACCAATGCAAACTTTATAAGGTGGTAACATGTCAGGATTGTGTATTTTAATGTGTTGTGTTGTTTAGCTAATAAATAAATACATGCATACAGATTTAATATTGGAAAATATTATCTTGATTCAAAGAATTATAAATATTCAGTATCAGTTTAAGATACAGTGTAAGATTTATGGCCGCATCATCTAATGGAAATATTCTAGATGTCTGCAGCATTTTAAACACATTTCCTTACAATTCAACCAGACTTATTTGGTCTCTTTGGAAACTTTGGGATCTCTGTTAGAAATTCAAATAAAATTTTGTGAACAGCATTTTGCGGTTTGTAATGCCGGACGAACTGTGGGGTCAGTGAGGATTAAGTGGTTATTAAGGGTTAGAATATTATTAATAAACTGAGACTATCTTAATCTCATTTCTCAATCTCTGATAACTCAAATTTATTATCGACATTCAGTGGAATTGTAGCCAGATTAAATGATAATTTATGTAAAGCAGAATCTTTCTTTTAATACACAGAATGTAATAAATTAAAAAATGAACATTGAGCATCAGTTTGATTATGTGTGATTTTGAATCTATTAAACACATTGTGGCATACAACATAATGCAAACACATTAATATCATGATATTGATTTCAGACATATCACTCGGTTCTATAGTACATCTGCATCATACTATAAATGGATCAGCCTCATCAGAAATGCAAATAAAATTTTTGCGTATTTTACTTTTTCAGGCGACTCTAACGCGTCAGCCTTGTGGCTGATTTGGAACTTTTGCAGCCCGTGCACGCAAGCGTCTCCTTCCTCACTCCAGCGAAGTCGGTGAATGAGCCAGCCGGTGTCCACAGTGCATACCTGTGCTCACTGACATGTACTAACTCACTCTTCCTGCAGGCCATGGCAGAGGAACGCACAGCAATCATAACACTCAGAAGATGAATGTGGCCAAGAGAGGTGAAAGGGAGGGAGAAAGAGAGTGTATCTTAAAAATTTAAGGATGACAAAGGCAAAGTAGGAGAGAATGAGGGAGGATAGAGTGCAGACAATGGTGAAGAAAGAGTTAGGAGGAAGAGGAGGAAGAGGAGGAGGAGATAAAAACATAGTCAGGAGCTGCCCAAGGCCACAGCCACTGATGGAGTTTGTGAGGGGAGGAAGGAGAGGAAGAGAAAAATCATCAATGAACACCTGTCTGTTTCTGACTCCTAATAAATCAGCGTCTTCTTAATCTGTCTGCAGGTCTTCCTTGCTGTTTGGAGAAGGTTACATGACAGGAGGGAGTGACGAAGAAGAAAGTGGAGAAGGTAGATGGAAAGATTTGATAACAGTTTATCCCTACAGCACAGTGAGAAGAGTATCTCTCAGCTGACACATGAGCATTTCAGAATCCCACACTGAGGAGGCATTTACGTTGTTCAAACTAGATTTATTTTGGTCTAAATAGTCTTAAATGCAAAACATCTCACACACAAAATATGTCTTATATCGAGGTACTATTTCACTCCTTTTTCCAGTATCGTACAGGAGCAACTCTCAGAAATCATTCATATGAAACTCTGCAGAGCATTCAAGTAGAAAAGACGGACATGCTCAGCATCCACTGAAGAAACCTGTACAATATACAGTATGTGTATGTGTATATACATTGCAGACGAGGGTGTAGATGTTTGCAGATGTCCTTCATCATAGTGTAAAATAAAACAGATAACCATTGCAATAATAACAGCATACAACCAAAGCCTTTTATAAATTTACTGGAAAAAAAGACAAGTTGGTTCTTGATAAAAGCTGGGTGCACTATGTCAAGTTAGAGGTTATCATAAAGAAAACAATCCCAGTGTAAGCTCAAATTCAAGTGTACTCCACAGATTTTAACATTTACATTAACATTTATTCATTTAGCTGACGCTTTTATCCAAAGCGACTTACAATTGCTATACGTGTCAGAGGTCGCACGCCTCTGGAGCAACGAGGGGTTAAGTGTCTTGCTCAGGGACACATTGGTGGAAGGGTCACGGTGGGGGATTGAAGGCGGGACTCTGACACCAAAGGCATGGTCTTATCCATTGCGCCATCACCACCACCAGATTTTACTCGTAAAGATCAGTTTACTCATTATGGGGAGTACTATACAACCTGTGGTGTTTAGTGCTGTCTGTTGCACTGCAGATATTTTGTCAAGTCAGAGAAAATAACCCTGAATATGTCATCGGAAAGTTTCTATGCAGAAAATCAACCAGACTTTTGGAAATCTCCGAAATAACTCCTCCCACTTTACTCTATGAAAGACATTGCATAATAGGAAATGTAGGTTCAAGTGTTTTTGAAGTTTGACCCTGACTAGGACATGTCTTTGCCATTGCTACACTCACCCCCCAAAGGGCAATACAAAATCACTGGGGTGCCCCTTTAAAGAGTAACGTAACAGCAGGCATAACAACTGTGTTTCACTGCCCTCTCTGGTTTTAAGTTCTTTAAGCCTCTGACCACACCCAGCTTCACCGAGGGGTGTGGTTGTGTGTGGTCAGAAGTACACTCTGTTGCCCCTGCAACCACACCCAGTTCCTGGAGTCCAACTTTACATTACTACATCAAGGATTTTTAGGAGGGATTAAGTTGGACTTTAATGTCATTAAAAACATCAATTTAACACCATTGGATCTTGGGTCTACACTTTCTACTCACCCTCAGGTTGGCCCTGACGCGCACTGCTGCAGGTCTGTGCAAAATTTTAACTGGACCCAAGAGAACAGCAATCATTTTTATAAAAATAAATATATGCACTTGATAGAACAGAGAAACATCAGACTGGGATAAACAGGAAATCGAAGGTTTGATTTTACAGTTCTTTAGAAGCTTTTTTTCCTTACTGGTTTCAGAGCTGGGTTGTGTAACAGAGGCAGAAACTGTACGCAGGCTTACAGCCCATCAGCATTAACTATATTAATCACATTTTCAAGGGTTTTTGTTCCATAACCTTAGGGTCCGATCAGGCTAGGGCCCAGTAGCTGTGGGGACAGTATCCAGTTTGGATAAGAAAGTCACAGTTCCTTTTCAGATCAAAGGCAGACTTTCAAACATATGAAGATATTAATTGTATAGGCCTAGTATGGATATAAACTTTCAGTGTCAGCCTGGAAATGTTTAGGAACTGTGTTCTCCAAATGAAACGCTGGGTAAACTGAGTTTTGGTTGAGTTTAGCCTCCATTACACACCTGCTTATCATAATGTCTGTGCAGCAGTGTGCACATTGGCAAAGTTAAAACAAAATCCCAATGCAAAGACAGTATTCCAATCAGGGAAAATGTTGACTCATGAAGGAGTGTCATTCTTCTTATCCCTCCTGTTCTCCCCTCAAACCTCTCATTTTCCACAGCGGAGTCCTAACTCATGTTTCCAAAGGACGCGTCGCTTGCTTCAGGGGAGGCGGTTCAGTTGGGTTTGGGCAGGGAAGGAATGGGGAAGGAGCAGAGAGAAAGAAGACTCACTACTGTAAGAGGTATGGATAAGAGAAGATGACAGAGAGTATCTTTTTTGCAGTCACAGCTGGCTGCTACTGTAGTATATTGTGGCACAAACTGGTTATAAAAGTGGCACTGGCAATAAAACATATTGTCTTAAATATTATGAGTTTAACAACATTTTGGAACATTTGTTTGTTTGCGCTCATGTTTGTCTGTTAGGTATGGGGCTAGAGTCTGGATGTGATTAGCCTTGCTTAGTGTAAAATGTTGGAGGAGGGGAAAACAGCTATCCTGGCTCTGCCCAAAATTCAAAATACCCCTAGCAGCACCTTTAAAGCTTACTAGTTAACACATCTTAATTGTATACCACCTAAAATAAACTGAAATGTAAACATGCCAAATTTGTTGTTTTGTTGGGGTTGTGTTTCTTGTTCAACAGCTTGGCACATTGAGGTAGCTAAGTTTGGTACCATTGCACCTTTACATGGACTAACACCATAACCTGTGCTTATTGACTGGAAATGGCAACCAGGGATGTAGCCAGAGATGCAGGCTAGTTGGCTCCACTCTATATGCTAAGCTAGCTAACCCTACCCTGACTCCAACTCCATAGTTAACAACACAGACATGAGATAACTTACACTGGAACGGCTGTGGTGTTTATTACCAGTAGGGCTAGGCGATAATTCAATATTAACTTTTATCAACTGAGTGGTATCATCATCATCATCATACTTAGATAATAGTCTTATTGTTTTACAAAATGCAGTCCATGTTAATGGTTTCCAAGAAGCAGTGTAACAAAACCCATTTAAAGAGTGGTGTGTGAGGAAATACAGCGGATCAAAGTGAATTGCATTGAACATCAATTTAATAATTTTACATATGATTTTGCATAATTCGCAATATCTTTTGTTAATATTGTGATAATAATTTAAACTGTATCATCCAGCTGTTGAGCCGCATTCTCTCCTCAGTTTGCATGCAGTCACTCTGCAACCCTCCCTTCCTCAGCAACTATGACAACCAGCTCCAAAAGAGAAAGACAAGAGAAGTAGAAGTAGAAACCAGCTCCAACCCTGACAACTCTCGGACTATAATTCCTGGCATGATCCAAGTGCCCTGTTCACCTCTGGGCACTTGACTTTTGCAGATATTTTGTTGGCTTTTGTTTTACTGTGGTGCTGTACTGTAGTGCTACATGTATTTAAGGTTTCATGAATGTGTTATACACTTTTCATTTTATTTCCGTTTTTCCGTTTTTATTATTATTTCATTTACTTACTTGTTGCGAAGTACTTACCTGCCCTCATCCAGCAACATTTACTACATGAGACACATGACAACAACATGGGTCAGAGCACAGGGACACACACACAGACGAGGATGACAATACACTCTATTGGACTGTATTCTCTCAGGATCAAAATATTTGAATGTATGAACTTTGAGGCATTTATTCTGTTCTGCTGCTATCTGTTTACTTCTTGCTTGTATTTAATGATTTTTCATTTTATTGTAGTGAAATCATTTCTGTCATACAAGTTAAACATCAACAGCAGTGTTGATTGAAGAAATGATAAACTATGCCAACAGATATCAGCCCACAAAGTCAATGGATGTAATCAAAATATTCTGACACCGACATACTTGGCTCAGATCCCACACAGATTACCTTTAATGATCATGTTGCGTGCAGTGTTGCAAGTTTGTAACAGCTAGTCGAGCCGCAGGTGCTTTGCAAATGCTCTGTGGAGGTGTGTGCATGGGTGGTTGAGCCTTTAAAGGCCTTTAAAATCTGGAATTCATTTATGAGAATCAACAGTCAGAGTGACAGGTTTAACAACTCACTTGAATACCATAGGGACAACATACTGCAGAACATCATTTACAATGTGATTCTGACATTTAACTTGGATTTAATAAAGTTAATGTGTAACTAAGTGAGTATATAATTCATTAACTATACAAATTATTATTAATTGTCCTGAGTAGCAAGGACATTGTTTCTGGGAAGATGGATTTTTCAAGTGTAATGTTTCACTGCTTTAAGAAGCACAAACAAAATTCATTTCATCTCCACTGTATTTGGGTGCCAGCAGATATTTCAGCGGCAGATAGCAGAAAACTTCATAAATCTGAATATTTGTAAGAGGATAACGTTGACATATTTGATCATAGACCACTCTCACCACTGTTCTCTGCACATACAACTTAAATGCACACAAACAGTTGGTTCTGTACATTAAAACATTTGAGGACCCCTGATCTAAGGAGCCTTGCTCTAAATATTAAATTACAGAACTAGAGTGTCAGGTTTTATGAATGATTGTGTGTGTGTGTGTCCCATGTTCTACTGACCTGAGCTGAAGGTGCCTGGGGTGGGAGGGGCAGCCCCTCGGCCTCGACTCACCAACAGCGCCTCCTGGTTTTCGGCCAGAGCCTGCTTGGCCAGGTAACGCTCCCTCTTGATCTTCAGCTCCAGGGATTCTGGGACATCAGGAACGATCCAGTCGATGGCTCGCAGCACAAAGAACACCACATGCTGGAGGAGGGGAGATGTGCAGACAGCAAGATATTTAAGCTAAAGTCAGAAGTTTGAACTCTTAGTACACAACAAGTTGGAGAACAACCAACGTCCACGGTTATGTAGATAGAAATGGCTCATTCTAAGGTAATACAAACATACTGGTTCATTATTTAAGGTCTTTATACACCCCTGTAAACATAGTTATGGATATAATATTACATTTCTGTCACTAGATCCTCAGAAATTAATCTTTTGTGCCATAGAGCTCCATTGTTGTCCAAAAGCTATTACAGACACATCAATGAGCCACACTGTTGCACTGGGGGAGATGTTCTATCAGCACTATCACAGTAGTTTCTTCAATCCTACAACCATGGTCCTGCTGCCATAATACTCACTACTCAAAAACGACAGTGCCCAGCTGTTTAAGAAAATGAAACTATATTTGTGACCTGTTTTTCAAAGCTTTATGTGTTCGGTAGGAGTGACTTGGCTTGGGGCTGAGTACCACAGACAGAATAGGGAGGTCTTTTTATTAACTGATTTGTTGAGTAAGAAAAATACAATATACGCCGACCTTATACTGACTAGTGGTTGTGCGGAAGTTTTAGAGATTTAAAAAGTGACGTTTTCTCTACTGTTGCACTCTGAATGCCAGAAATGTAAATCTAAACAACAAAAAACGAGGGTCAGAAGGAAGAATTGCTGAGCAATTAGGAGATGTGCATGACCATTCAGAGGTCTGGAACAGTGCCAGATAAACAGAGGGAGACTGAGCCAAAATGGATGCAAGCGAATAAACATAAAATAACATACTGGATGAACTACTGATATGGGTAAGCATCACATAAGATGACAAAACTAAGACATACACTGAGAGAGGGAAGTATGCACCTGGGAACATAGGCAGAACTGGGGATAGAGAAGTGATAGATAAAAATAAATGAAAAATGTGTGGCGATGGTGCAGTGGATAAGACACAGGCCTTTGGTGTGGGAGACCCCCGGGTTCAATTCCCAAAGCGACACATCCACCAATGTGTCCCTGAGCAAGACACTTAGTTACGCCTAGTTGACCCAGAGGTGTTCCGACTCTGACATATATAGCAATTGACAGGAAAACAAATTAGCAAACAGAGACAAAGCAGCTCTCTTCATACCTCAAAAGCAATGATAAAACCAAGTCTGACAGCAAGAAGTTCCCAGTAGAACAGAGTATAATTCCCATTGTTGTCTCTGTATGCTTTATATCTAAAAACAAGAAGGAGAAAGAAATAAAATACAGAGTTACTGCAGAATATACAGTGTAATGGTTGATGTGCAACAGTATGAGAACAAACTGAACAACATGTTAAACATCAGTAATAGTACCCTCTGTTGGTAAAGTCTGTGATCTGAATGATTTTGCCAAAATGAAATGAAGTAAACATATCTAAGAGGCAAAATATGGAAGTTTGAACCAAAGTGTTTCCCCACTCTTACATTACATGCATTCAGACAATCAGCATCCAGCGTACCTGCACATAGGGTACTCAGTGTAGTTAAGTGGGGCGTAGGCCAAGGTGAAGTTGACGTATCCACTGAGATCATTATTGAACTTGTACTGGTAGAGCAGTCGAGGTAAAAAATCGGATGTGAAAGCTATTAGGAAAGCCTGCAGGTAGCAAAGAGAAGAAAGAAAAAAGATAATGTTGTAGAAAATTGGTATTCTCCAGTCTGGGGTGGGTGTCATTTTCGATTTCGACTCACGTTGGCGATGACGGACAGGTGTGACAGGGCTTCCAGTATGTTGAACCAGACTCCGATGTTCTGGGCGCGCTCAGCCACCGGTCGGCGGTACTCGCACACAAACTTGTGGGCGTCCAGACGGACTTCCACCCAGTTGTTGAGGAGAGCGAAGAGCGGAGCAAGGGGGAAAGCTGCCACGAAGATGGTGATGAACCCAAACTGTAGCACTGCAACACAATGACTCATTTTTATGTTGTGCAATGAAACATAGAAGACAATTTCCTTCCTTCCTCTATTATTCTATTTTATATATTGTATAATCATCATACTGTATGTTATTGACATTTGAAGTTTTCATCAAATTGGTAATTCCGTCAATAGCAGAGGCATCATGCCCTTTAGGAGTAGTGGATACTTGCCCATCTCCAGGTACTCTTCGAACAGGCCTTCACACTCCACAAGCTTGTAGTCTTCCTCCCAGCGCCGAGGCTCATGGGTTGACTTATCCCCAAAGCACCTTGGCCAAACTTCTCTTCTGGCGCCAGGCCTTCACTTTACTATGAGCAGAGAGACAGAGAGCACACTTGTAAATATGAAATAAACATGACCATAGTCATGAAAAAATTGTTAATATAGATTTTTATATTCAACACAGGGAGGTCAGAGGTCATGCTCATCTATAAAACAACAGCCCTGGTGTTGATAGAGATAGAGATCCTGATGTTTTATCTGATTCTAGTTTAATGTGCATATTTTTTTACATTTGTCATTTATCGAACACAGCTTTTCATTTTCATTTTGCTGTCTCTACCCTGAATACAAACTATAATTAATAGATATTATATTACATGGAGTTAGCTTAATTTTAGTGTTGAGGATTTGCCATGAGTAACAAGTCCCTTATGCTCAAACCTTGCAGATGGTTCAATGGTGGGTCTGCAATTGGCATCTTAGTAGTTCATTCTTTCCATGCTGTAACACATATGTTCCTCAAAACTCTCATGTCATAGTAAGTCTAAGCTGGACAGGTTTCACTTAAAATATGTCCCTTCCTTCTCCCCAAAAGCAGCTATCCTCCTAGATATGAGCAATATAGGACAAGTGGAACAGGTGTGCTGATCCAAATAAGCTGCTGCCAGCCAAAGGATGCCCTGCTAATGTCAGGGTCAGCAATAGGACAAACCTTGTGGGGTATAACCTTCGACCAGCATAGATAAAATAAACCACAAACCACTCTGACAAGCATAACAAACCTGGCTGCAAATACACACAATCATTTAATCAATCTACAGCAGCTGCACTTGAGATCTCACTATTGGGAGTATCAGCATAGAGATCTACGTTAAAAATATATGGCCTTAATTTCCCCCCTGCTCATCGAATGTTCACGTAAAACAAATGGTGTCCCTGTATAAAATGTCACTTAGCTCCAAATGGCTAACCACAACACCTTGCAAGACAGTCAAGGAAGAGGTTCAACTAAAGAAAGCAGTAACAGAGCTGCCAACTCTCACGCATTGAGCATGAGACTCACACAACTGACACTTTTCACACGCCCTCATGCTAATTAATCAATTTTCTCATGCATTGGAAAAACTAATGTAGCCTACAGCCTAACTGATTGCGTCGACTCGGCGAGATGACACTCCACTCACACGCTGTGACGAGGATCAAGCAAACCCGCTCTTGCGCAGTGAGTGGCAGACAGTTTGTGATTGGGTAACGTGGCTGGTACGGGTTTGCAATATAAAAATGTATAATCCAAAGCACAGATTTTCTCGGTTGGGAATGTGTGCAACACAGAGCCGCTGAAGTTAACATGTGAGGATTTGTGCTGAAGTGTTATCAGTTAGTTTCAAGTCCCAAACGGGTTCTGTGTCTGTCTGTCTGGGATTCTATCATATCAGCAGAGCAATTAATGAACAGCAGATTATAGGGCGGGGAGATTTTAAAAAAAATATTGTGAATTATGATTAAATGATGACGTTATTAAAAAAATCCGGACTGGACTTCAGTGCTATTCACACTTCACCTATACCTATTCTCCAATCATTTGCAAATTCCCTCGCTGTCCCTCCTCAACTGCATTACCCCCCCACACGCACTGTTAATTGGGAAAACCTCAGATCTTTCCAGCCTGCCCCCATCTCACCACCCTCTCACCATGCCAACTTTGCCCTCCTCAACACCCGATCGATTAACAATAAAGCCCCTGCCCTCCATGAACTAATCCTCGACAACACGCTGGATTTCCTTCTGCTCACTGAAACCTGGCAACAACCCAATGACTTCTTCTCTCTCAACCAAGCATATCCCACTGGCTACAATTACATCTGCAAACCCCGCCCCTCGTAAATGACAACTTCTACTCGTCCCCCTTCTATGTGGCTTTGCCGTCATTTACAATCAGAACTTCCGGATCACTGAACTCACCCTCCCCTCAGTATCCTCATTCGAATATCTCGCCTTCAAAGCTCTTTCCTCCATGACAGTTATCCTCATCTACCGGCCACCTAAACCAAACCCTTCCTTCCTCTCTGATTTCACAGAACTCCTAACTTTAGCCTCATCTCTCTGTTCATGCCATCTGCTACTCGGTGACTTCAACTTCCATATAGACTCCCCCAACTGCAAGCTGTAATCAGAATTCACCATTTTACTCCGGATCACATACAAAATCCTGGTCCTCACCTACAAAGCCATTCACCACCTGGCCCCTTTATACCTCACTGTCCTCCTCTCCCCCTACCAACCTTCGCGGTCCCTCAGATCCACCTCAGCCGGTCTCCTCTACGTCCCCAAGTCCAAGCTCAGCAGTCTAGGGGAAAGAGCCTTTTCCAGGGCAGCTCCCAGGCTCTGGAACTCCCTCCCCCATGAGATCCGCACCTCTGAGTCCCTCACCATTTTCCAGTCCCGCCTTAAGACCCATCTCTTCTCCTCTGCCTATCCCTAGCTGTTTATTTTATTTTTTTATTTTTATTTATTTTGTAATGTTTCTTTATCTGCTCTGTAAAGCGACTTTGAGTCCGTGAAAAGCGCTATACAAATTCAATTTATTATTATTATTATTATTAGAAATCGTTCTGGATATGTCAGATTATACAATTATGTGGGATAGATGCAAAAAGTTCAGTCAAACATTCAGTCCAGGAGTTTCTAACTGAATTCAAATGAATTAAATTATCCTTGAGGTGAAAAGGTGCCGCATTTAAAGAGGAACTTCCCCAAACAAAGACACAGTGAGGAGTGAATACTAAATCATGAAAGAAAAATAAATAGGCCTACAGAATGCTTGAAAGCCATACACCTTCTGAATTATATTGTCACATTTTAAATTGTCACCTGCTGCCTGAGTTTTGTTTCTGTTGACATAGCCTAGATAAAAACATTTCCACCATAAATTGATGCAGGAAAACTGGTGCAGAAAATGTCACCAGAATGCAGGAAATTAAGTGTTTAATGTTAAAAATTGAATGGGGGAGGACCGCCAGACCTCCCACCTAATTACGTGGCTTCTCCATTGCTAAAGGAAAACCTATGCTATTGCTTATTATTAACTTTAATATTCCATACATTCTCAAAAATTAAAAGAAATACAGTCTCTGGTTTGTGTTTCGAATCTCACTCCAAACTAAATTGAAAAGTTGGCAGCCCATATTGTCTGGTCTGCTAGTCTGGACACACACAAACACACACACACACACACACACACACACACACACACACACACAGTGCAAGTGCTGCAGAGGTGCGGCAATGAGGTTTACTGCACCAAACAAACAAAGCTGGATTCCGGATGCAAAGCAGGCTGATGCAACACTTGATAATGTCATGCAGATGAAAAAACTGTGGGGGTTTATGCGTGTTATCTATTAAACTACAAATTTCACATACCAAAATTTTGCTATTTCTAATTTATTCTGTTGTATTGATTGTCCTGATTTTGGTTTTTGAATGCTATTTATCATGTCAAGCTGATTATAGACATCGTAACAATTTAATTTAAACTATTTAAATGTATTAAATTATACTCCTGTCTGGTTGGGAACTTATCTTCAGGTTTGAAAAAAGTCTAATACTCTTGAAGCTGTTAAGTAAAAGTAGGATAACTTAATAATATATATATATATATATATATATATATATATATATATATATATATATATATATATCATATTTTCAGTAAAATAACAGATCTCAGAAAACCATACTGGTATATCAGTCTTGTGGACAGAAACATACGGGATAATGAACTCCTGAATGTTGTTGATGAGTTGCTTTCCCACCATGATGATGAAGAGTTGTTCAGCCAGTTCAATAAGACATCCCCCAGGACCACACTGCAATAGAGTGTGAAGACACACAGAAACACACATTTATGACACAGTGGAGCATCACCTTCTTCACATGCTTGAATAAAAATACAATAGCAGGGATCTGGAATATTTTCTCCCTTTTACATTTATTTGTAAATTATACACTCACATCTTCATTTCTCATCCCAAACAAGGTCCCATAGTTGGAAGGATAACCCACAAACCTACCCGCACAAAGAAATAACACACAGTTAAAAATATCATTTGGCATAAAATATTCTTCATTTCTCAACCGTTTCTGTATCTGTTGAGACTGACTCATGCCTCACCTTCCTTTAAAGAAAGCCACATAGAAGGGGGACGAGTAGAAGTTGACAAACTGGAAGATGAACACCTTGAAGATGAAGGCATTGTCATACTGAGTTTGTGTTCTGTGCATCTCTGCAACAGAGAAAACATGGACACAGTATTTAAGACATTAAACCCTTAAAAGCTCTTATAACTTTACTGTTTGCCCTTTTCTCTCTCTCTCAGATAAGACTGGCTAACAGAGGGTTTGCTTAAAACCTGTCTATCATTTGACCGTGCATGTTTCTTACCCAGACTGACTTTTCAGAGCGATGTTGCCATGTTCAGAGATCTTGGCTATGAAGTATAATGAATATATTGTTATCTTAACTGAAGAAATAAACTGTGTCAAATAAAGTGAAACGGATGTAGCAACTCTGAGCAGTGTGAACTATATCAGACAGCCATTATTTTGAGCTTAACTTTCTGCTTGACCTGAAACTACAACCGAGTTTAATTTACTCTGTCTCACCAACAAAGATGTCAACCAATCCTATAACCATCTGAACTGCAAAGGTGATATATTACAATCTCTAGCGGGCCATAAAAGAGGTACTCAGCTCTTGGCAACAACACCTGAGAAATGTTTTTATAGTACAACGTGGCTGTCTCAACAGCACTTAACATTAATGGTTATTTTCTATGCACAGGACATTACAGTGCTTACATGTCTAACTGTTTTTAGCCACTCTAGTTGAGTGAAATGGCAATATTGGTCAGTTGGTCTGTTGGTCAACCACTTTGGTACAGAGTGAAATGTCTCTACAACAACTGGAGAGATACCAATTATCATAAAATTTGAAACATTGTTTTACTTTCAAGATGATTTGGACTTTGGGGATCATTACCTAGTGCCGTTGTCAAGTCAGAATTTCAATTTGTAATATACTCTGTTGACCAAATCCCTGCCTTGTTTTTAGTGCTAATTTGAATGTCAGTAAGTGTTAGCATGCTAAAATGCTAAACTAAGATGGCGACCATGATAAACATATTATGTAGGAGGTAGGAGGTAATATCTAAATTGGCTAATAAAGCTTAAATTTAACAGTCTGTAGAGATTAATGCTGTTTATGAGTTTATTCATGATTTTAGACTGAGTTGTGTTTATCACAGGTTTTTTCATTAACTAACTAGCATGTTTTAATGCTGCCAGATACTGCAGCTGCTGTACAAGACATAACTGTAACACACTGATTGAAAGATGTCTGTTCTGTTGCCCTCACTGAAATGCTATCTTTACCCCAGATGCTGGGATCATGTGCAAGACATTATCTGCTCTTTAAGTAGTTTCAGCTTTTAGTTAGTGGAGAGCCAGTGAGAGGCTGATATCGATGTACAGTATTGAGGTTTGAGGTGTTAAAGAGCAATATTGATTTTTACCCCATTTAGTGAGCTGCTCAGCTAATGCAGTGTAGACCCGGCCCATCAACAGGATAAGGCCCAGATTCACAATACTGCTGGAGATGTTGGCTATTGTCCCTGCCTGAGGAGATCAAACACATGTATAATAGTAAAATATGCACACAGAGGGCATGGAGCTGTTAAAGGAGCTGATGTACACCTGTAGTACATGCATGTAGTGATCATTATAAGAACAAAATATCCAAAATAGAATAATTGAATACACACATCCACTGTAGATGCCCTATGTAGCTTTGATATACCTCTGTACGCAGGACAGGGCTCCCAGTATGGAACATCATCACGCTGATGATACCGCGGCACATGACCACCGTCACCAGGAAAATCATCACCACACACAGCTGAGGGCGAACACAAAGGGATGTTGTGTCAAAAACACTTAAGACATATCAGCAAAGACACATGATAGAGTTACAACAATTACAACATCTCAGTGAAGTAGTAGCTTTAAGAGGTACACTCCATTTATGTAGATATCTACACCATTCCCTAGAGTTGGCTGACTACAGCAAAAAGAAAGCTACTTGCTTCAATCTCACTCACTCTAATTGGTTTGTTTTCTAGATATCAGCAAGGCAGTATTTTCAATTTTCCACCTTTACTATCAGTAATGTCAGGAGAAGGGTGGGGGAAAACTGCTCCTCAGATCCCAGTCCAAGAACAACTTTATCCTGAGACTGAGTATACATTGTACGGCTGAGATTTTCAGATCAGATCTCGGCCTGTGGGCAAATGACCTGGATTCATTATTAGAAAAGGGTTCAGTTACCAAGGCAGGATTCAGTGGAATAGCACAAAGCTATAAACCCCACCTCTCTTTCTTTTCAGGATCACAAAAGTAACAGTCCAAAAGACACTGAGATTCTTCACTGAAACCAAGTACTGTGTGTGATGACAATGGCTGTCAGAAAGAACAGGACAGTAAGTTTGTACACACATTACCTGTATGATATCTGATTAGGGCGTATTGGTTAGGGTGCATTAGAATGAAATCATACGTGATCAAGTAGATTAACTATATTGAATTCATCTAATTAGAAGTGACATTAACTAGCTAAATAACGGCTGATACCAGCAAACAAATATATCGTTCTATCCCTGCGATAAAAAAGGTATAAAGGTCCAAAAATGAACACAAGGAAATATTGTTCTATTACCCCAAATACTTTATTTACAGTAATGCTAAATGCACACTCCTGAAATTCAAAATCTGTCTCTAAACACTTTTACATAGTGTCTCACCATCATAATGATGACCATGGAGCCAGTGAACATGCGGGACAACCTGGTCTTCTCTGGAAAATAGGGCTCTTTGACGCCAGTCACCGGATTTTCCTCCATTGTCGGGGCCATGGCGGCAAACTCTGGACGAGGACGCTCCTGAGGGAATACATTGATGACATAGCTGTGAACGGTCCAGCTGCGGACCAATGGGTAGAAAATGTGTTCACCAGAGGTGTGTTGCATATCAGAGGAATAAGGGGTTACTCAGGATCATACAGGACTGTATAATGAGATGAAGTTTGTAGTTCCCTTTATGCTCAACTAGAAAATTTTAGGTACAAATATTATAAATTATTTCTAGAAATAAACTATTTTGCATGGTCCTGATGACAATTTTAGGAGTCTCACAGCCTGGGAGAGGTAGCTGCTCTGTAGTCTGGTGGTAAGACTTCTTGCCAGACAGCAGCAGGCTGTTGCTGGGGTGGGTACAGTCAACCATGTTATCCTTGTGTTGATTTAGCTAATTTAGTGTGTCTTTAACACAAAAAACTGCAAGAAAAAATACTTAACTAGCTGTTGGGAATGGCCCTTGTGTCCATTAAAGTCCTGTCCACACCTGATCTCTGGGGATACACCTCACATCTGGGGACCTCACTCTCTTCCCATGGGCTTGCAGACCTGGGGTCTCCAAGCACGAGGTCTACAGTTGGACTTTTTTGGGATTGCTAGCCTCTTAATTATGATATACCGATGAACCATAAATATAGAAGAAAAGTATGGTCATATTCTACTTAAAGCAAGCAAACAATTTTTTGATTGTGAGACCTCTTCTTCGTGGAAGTCCATGCAGTCCCAGTGATGGGCCAGGGTGGCCATCTTTCGCTTCCAGTACTCCAGGAAGGTTACAGCCCAGAAAGACATGAAAACACTGAAGAGGACGGTACCTGGGTGGTCAAATAAGTAGCCCAACTGCAATGCAAAAAGATACAGTATATACCTTTTGAAACAAATATCAACGTTAAGTATATTTGCAATATGATAATACACTGGGTTGTTTACCAGTGAAATGTTCATTACCTTGGCCATGGTGCAGATTTCAGACATGTTCCAGGCCTTGCATGTATTACAGAGAGGACACATCAGATAACCCGCTCCGCTGTTACAGATTTCCTTGCTGTTGAAAGACACAGATTATTTACAACTGAGAAAACATGTTTTAAAGCTTTCAAACAGGACTGCTTTTCCGATTTTGATGTATGGAGTGGGCAAGCAAATTTGACAGAAACAGAGATTTTTGGCCTTAATCACATATGCTCATTGTTATTATAGTAAGAGCTAAAGGTTTGAGTGAAATAACGGTAATTGATTTTGTACACACACTATCCAGGATATATTGATTGAGTGAGAAAATAGAAAAATGAAAGCTGGTGAAATCAAGTCTCCAAGCTTGCAGCCAGGGAACAGAGCTACTGCACGTTGGCTTATTAGAGTTATTCAGCGAGTTACTGAAACCATGACTACACATGGGATCTGCTGCACAAATAAAGCCAAGACTCACTGAGAAATCTTACTTATTTATGTAATGGGGAGATTATTCAGTACTAATTGTCCATTAGCACATGAAACGGCTGCAGTTTATTGTCGCCACAAACTGTACATCCATTGTCCACTATTCAATAGATGTAATCCACAGTATGAACAAATGAACCTCATGATCCTGAGACATTTGGTTGTTTCCTGTCCTGAGATATAGACTTATCTTCTATTTTCTCTAACCTCTCTTGTTACTTTATAGCGGAATGAATTTTCTGTCACTGAATCCAATAGGATGCTCTAGAAACAGAATGTTAAACACAAAACAATTGGTAAGGCAATATTAGGGTGCAAGCACTTTAAGGTACACTTACTGCTTAAGTTATTCCACAGTACTGTGTAGGCAGAGTAGAACCCACTGTATAATGTATAATGTATTGGGAACAGACATTCCCATGTGGATTGTATAATTATGGGGTTTGTTTTTATGCAGAACAGACTGCTGTGCTTTGATGCTTTGGTATATTAGTGTCTCAAACTGTGCTTGCTTAAAATAATTTAATTTAATTTAAAATAATAGCTTTATTTGTATAGCATCTTTCAATGCAGGTAACAAAGTGCTATAAAGCAAAAATTGCAAGACTGATCTCCTCTGGTAGTTTGTTCCAGAGTGTAGGGGCCCTGACAGAAGAGGCCCTGTATCCTTTGGTTTTTAGCATAGACCTAGGAATGGCTAGCAGTGCTCTACCAGAGGATCTCAGCAATATAAAAACTAAACAGCATTTTGGGCTAATTGCAAGAAGTGAATGGAATTCTGTCCGAGACAGGTGTACAGGAAGTTACAGTAGCCGAAGCAGGAGGAGATAAGTATGGATGAGTTTCTCCAGATCTGTGGTGAAATAAAAACTTAAACTTGGCTATAATTATCAAACGATAAAAACATAGCTGAACAACTCTCTTTACATGTTGTTCAAAACACAAGTGCAGGGGCCTCATTTATAAACGGTGCGTACATACAAAACAGGGATGGAAACGTGGGTACCCCACTTCCCACGTAAAGGTTGTGATCTATAAAAAACAAACTTGACGGGAGAATGTGCGGTCCTCCGCGCAAACTCTGAGCCATGCGTACACACATAAACTGGAGAAATGAGAAACGGCGACTCACATGGCAGAAGGATGAAACGTTTGAAATGGATACTATTAAAATCGAAATATTACTGCTGAGCCATTATAGGCCAATAAAACTTAACATAATTTCATAATATTATTAATTTGCCAAACAGATGCAAACAGATGCCTTTCTGAATAAACACACCCGTTTGATTGATTTCAGTGTGCCGTTTATTACACATAAAACCAGTCATATTTCTTTTAACTCAACAGCAGCCTCGTTGAGTGAGTGGAGTGTTTGTGACTAAATAAATGTTTAAAGTGGAATGATTTGGTTTACTCTCTTTTCAAATGAGGGAATCCAAATTATGTACTGTGTCATCCAGTGTGTCCTCCACCTCTGACACTACTCAGGAGGGATGCCCTTTCCCGCAGATCGGTTATAAAGGCGTGGAGCTCTGGTGCACAAGCGTTGCGTGTAAGTGCGCGTTGTACCCACCAAACAACATGCTTCAGCTTCACCAAAATGAACGTCAGTGTCACACTGGGTTAAATTTCTTTTTGAAGCTGTTCTGTCACAATTTTCCCTCCTTTTCATGATGCAGTCAGTATGTATTAATATTAATGAGGGGCGTATCACTGACCATTTATGGGCAACTATGGGCGTTTAAAGGGTCGGACAAGGAGCTTGCTCACATTAGCCACATTTCATGTTGATTGTGATTTATAAAGGGAAATGGGTGTATTAAATCAGAATATTTTGTGAGTACTCACTTCCTGTGTTTTGAATGTTCTCAATCTTTAGGAGTATTTTCTACGTAAAGTTTTATAAATGAGACCCCTGGTCAAAAACTGGATGCCAGATATGGTCTGCAGGCACATGTTTTGGTATAGGTCTCTGTATAGGCACAATGGTACCAAACCTGGCGACCTTACTGTGACTCCGGGAAGTCATTGCGCCCAGCTGCTGTTCACCAAGAAATAGATCAAATACTTTTCGTGATGACACGTTAATGGAACTTTGATGTCATTACCAAAACATAACAGCAGCACTGCGGAGTTACAAAGACAACAAAGTGACACAGTAACTGACATTCAGTTACTAATATTATCCACCTTAAGCTACTGGTCATTCCAGACCGGGTAAGATTATAGCAGCAAAACCTCTGACTATCTTGGAGCCAGGGTATGTCTTATTGCTAATAATGCTTATAAAGTCCAATTTTAAGATTGCGTTGTTTCTTTTTCAGTTACATAGTGGGAATGATCAGTCAATTCGGCAAAATCAAAATCATTACATAATGATATGTATGAATACCCCTTGAAGAATTGACTAATATAACTGGATACACTTAAAATGTGTGTCATAATGTACTGTACACATTTTGCTCCTCATTTATCTTGTGTTATGCAAATAAACATGTATTTCCTGTGTTGTGTGTGGACTCACGCTGGTGTGTTGGTACTCATGGACATGACTCCAGACACAAAGACCAGGGTTCCAACTATAGCCGCTGGTAGTAGCCAGGCTGTGTAGAAACCTGCAGACATAAAGCTCCATTAGGCGGGGGCAGGGGAGGGGGGGTTGTGCAATTACATTGCAGCACTGTTGTTTAATGCTGTTTAAGAGTTTGTTGGCGTCACAGATGTTCAGGATGAAAGTTTTATTGTCTCAAGCTTTTCCTTACATTTTCTACTGTTAAAGTTAGATGTTATGCATGCTTCACTCTTCTCTTTGTTCAGACATAATGGATTTTACTTCCAAAGCTAAATACCCACTTCTGGGCATATAACATTAGCTCCAGGTATTTATGAGGAGAGTCTTGTAGGATAAGTACATTAAAAGACTTTTTTTCCCAAACCTTTCAACTATACCTCCTGGTCTTTATCATATATGACTACATGCTAGTACATTGACCTTGAGTTGCATTTTTTGTGTAAAACTACTCATTTCACGGTTGTTGAATTAAATCAAATTGTTGTAGGCGGCATTAGCTCAGCCTGTTAGGACTTGGCTTGGAAACCGGTGGGTCTCCGGATTGAGTCTAGCACGAACCAATGCCGAAGGTGTCCCCTGAGCAAGGCCCTGAACCCTGAACTGCTCCCTGTATGATGGCAGCCCACTGCTCCAAATGAAGAGAAATAATGTCCCCTTCCCTTTTTATATGTCTGCTCAAGAATTTCCCCTCGGGGATCAATAAAGTATTTCTGATTCTGATTAAATGTTCCTTTGTCAAATGTAGTTTTCTTCAGGAATTTGACAAACCATTTATGGGACCAGATGCATTTATCCTCAAATTTCTTGTAATAGCTTGAATATACATAGGTGACTTAGTATGATAATTGGTATTTCGTTTCCCTTCATTCATTATTTGAGAATGTGGATGATGATTCAGAGGTCTGGAACCTACAGGTATTCAACTTGTTAAAAGAACTGCCGGCTTCATTGAAGGTTAAAGTGTGCCACAGCAAAGTTGATTAATACATATGCATTCAATTATTTGTGTTATTATTTGTGCTTATATTCACATGAGAATCTAGAGGGGGTTTGAATATGTGTCTGTGCCTAACATGTCTGAACAAGAAATTACATTTACCCAGCCAGGCAAAGTAGAGGGCAATCTTTTCTCCAAAGTAGTCCCTGATGTGGTCCAGTGGTTGGTACTTGTACCATTTGAACCAGCGGGCCCAGTAGTGGTAAAGGATCTGCCTCTGATTCAGCTCGTCTGGGCGAATCTCGTAACTCGGAAGCTTAAATGGGCCCTGTAAAAAAAAAAACGTTGATTGAGGAAAAACAACTTCTGTGCAAAATCAGATAAATTGCAGATCAATAATATCTGACCTCGTGCAGGGGAAAAGCTGCTGCGTATACCCCTTCATTCACCAGTCTGTCCACACCAACCTCTGCCCTTTTCCTTTTGCCATACACTGTCCTGGCAAGAATCTCATATACCTGAAATAATACACAAACTCCTTGAGAAAATAATTTCACTGAGTACATGTACAGGATGTAGAGGAATTTCTGTTACTCACAATACGGTGTCTTTGTGTATTAGTGAAGTAGGTTTCATGGTTGTCACAACCAAGGAACCTGTAGAGGAAAGACACTTTAATAAACTGTGATATAATGTTAACTGATCGTAATATTTACTTTCGTTGAGAACTTGTTAGAACTCACCTGTTCATTTTTGACTTGCGAAAGGCACATGTGTAATAGTCCAACGGCCTGTTTGGCACTGATTCTATCATTACATTAGGTATGCATAGTCTACTCAGCAGCCGAGCAGATGTGTTCAAGTCCAGATTTGGCTGTGCCTGGAAGCCAAACACACATTAATTCAGTATGAGGAATGTTTTATCCTCCTTAAGTTACAACCCTTAAAATGTTTCTTTTTTGCATTTTCCTGTGGATCCTTTGTGTGTGGTTACACATCTGAATCCCGCTTAGGAAATGGGATGACTGGGGTTTAATGTAATAATAAAGAGTCTACAGCCATGCTAGCAGCTCCATGAGGTTGTACAACAGTGCTTTGAGTAAAATGCTAACATGCTCACAGTGCTACCATGCTGATGTTTAGCAGGTACAACGTGCCATATATAATGTGTTTACCATGTTAGTTTAGTCTGTCCATGAAGTCTGTACAAAATGTTGGCATTGTGGCAGTTCATCTTGTAGGTGTTGAGATATTTCACAGGGTACGCGGAAATTTTGTCTAGGTTGCACTAGATTTTTTAAATGTATTTATTTATTTAAAAGGGACAGTGCATATAATGAACATATTTGCTTTACAGCAATGTGGATATGCCAGAATTAGCCTGAAGGCTATTTCTAATCTGTTGTCCCCGGCAGGTCAATGTGCAAAACAACTACACAATAAAACAATATATTAAATATACAATACACACAATATAAAAGACACCACAATGTTCTTTACAGGGTTATGAAGATTAAAGTTCTGATTATACAGTAAGGTGCTGCCATTTAGTGCAGTGAAGTGCTGCATACTCGGAAGCCACGCAATTTGTTAGTAACTATACGTACACACACACACACACACACACACACACACACACACACACATATACATTTATTGTTTGAATTCTATTATATTTAAAAAATTAAAATATCTGTTCATACAGTTTTTGTGTGTGTGGCGTGGAGAGGGCAACAACTGCTGTCATTGTGCAATCGTGTTGTATAACGACAAATAAAACACCTTGAATCCTTTAATGTCGGTACAAATTCCCTAGCATTCCATCCAATGCTTGTTGAGATATTTAAGTCTGGACTGACCAACTAACAGACTGACACTGCCATCAATTAAAATCTTAAGTACTATAACTATAATGTGACATTTTCAGTTATAAACAGCAGCACTAACCTGTAATGGAGCTCTCACACAGAGTTCCTCAGCATAATACACCAACACATCCCAAGGAGCGCTAAGTTTCAGAAAATGTATTGTTTTCTTCTCATTCGCAGTTTCTTCCTAAAGAGAAGAGAGGCAACGTGGAGAAGTTGTTATGCTTGTTAATGCGTCGACAAAAATAATGAGCAGATTAAGGAGTTAAATAATAAATAAAAGATTAATAATCTTTAATCTTATCTACAGTACCTTTTCCATAAGCAATCCAGCACTTTCCAGATTCTGAACAAACTTCTCCCTCCACTGTGCCAGCTGTGCCTTCCTTCGTTCAGACCTGCTGTTCTCCTCAGTGGGCACAGCTTCCCCCTCCTCACTGGTCACTTCTCTCTTCCCCTTCCCTCGCCGTTTCCTCCGCGAGCGAACTTCCCACACCAGTACAAAGTCTAAACCCAGATTAACCATAAAGGTCCAAAAAGTTAAATGAAGGACTGACTCCATCCATCCATCAGAGAGCTAATGTAAAGCGAGCTGCTGATGCTGCCTACCGATTTTGGTCTTTCCGTCTCTAAAGTAATTCCCCAGCTGTGGGACTGGCTGGTTACTTCTTGTATCACAGTGAATATAAATGGGATCATCATCATCTATGTCTTCGTCAGCAGCTGCAGCTGAAAGCTAAAAGCATCCAAAGAGAGAAAATCTGTTCATTAATTAAAAGCTGCGAGAGCTACAGGCAAACACAAACTATTTTCTGCTCACATGTAAACCCTTTATGTGAACAGTTAATTTCCTTTTGATGAGATTTAACAGTAAAATCCTGTGACATTTAACAGCCTCATAAAAGCCTCCACTTTGCAATAATAAGTCCAGAAAGAAAATGGTAGTTGAGCTATTTACAGTATGGTTGAGAACAATCTTTCAGTGCAGTAAAGCCACGTTTCACCATTTCAGACATTTTGATTTTCCCAGTGACATATAGTACCCCGTACCATATTGTGCTCCTGCGAGTATCAGATTCACTGCAAAATCTCAGAGAAGTCAGTGAGGTGTGAAGGGATGAGCAAAGCAGTAGTGTAATGGCTGCTGTGTGAATGTGCAGTTATTATGTTTCTGATTCTATATTAAAGGAAAACATACTGCAGCATTGTAGGAAAAGAAGTTAAATAGTGCTTACATATCTTGACGGGATGAAGCTCCCGTTCTGCAGACTCCCGTAGCTGTCTGTGGTTGATGGTTCACCCCCATAGTCCAGATCCAGGAGAACCTCCCTGTCTCCCTTCAGCAGCTCTGAGCCCTTCCTCAACATGAGGATGACAGGTCCTGTGACTGGGCACAAATACGGAGCATTCACATAAAATTGTACTGCAGAAGAAAACAAATCTCACACCTAGACACATGCTTTAAAGAGATACTGAAAAGAGAAAAAAAAACCTCGATATTTTACCTGTTGTTGCAAAAATGAGGCTGCTGCTACAGTCTGGATTTGCAGCAAGCTGTGCTTCCCTTGTCCTCACCTTCTTCTCTATATCTGCATCCGTTAAGATCCTCTGCTCCACTGTTAGATAGCTGAGAATTACCGTAATGGACCTAGCACGCAGGCAGCAGCTGGCACTCTGCTGCATTTCAGCAGACGACATGTACTTTAGGACATACAGTACAGCGCACATCCCCACTTCATTAATAATGTAATAGTCAGTCAGCAGCAGAGAATAAGAGAATAAAGTCAGAACTCTCTCTAGTCTAAGTGTGTGTGTGTGTGTGTGTGTGTGTGTGGTGGTGGTGGTGGGGGGGGGGATCGCCTCTTTGATGTTAATAGTTAGTCTCTCATCTGTACTGTGCAAAATGTTTCGCACATTTCATTTCATTCGTTTTGAAATGTACTCACACAATTAACATAAATTATTAACAGCACTAGAAGAGAAGCGCCACCCATCTAAGCTTTATTTCTTGATCTGCATCATCACAGGCCCAAGACTAGGGATGTGCACACTATAAATACGTAAAATGCTGACTGGCCAATATTCAAAGGTCCTCTAATCTGACAACCTTTTTTCCCCCTAACACCACTCCTCCTTTTCTGCATTGCTGCAGCCAAAATAAAGCTGGATGTAAGACGTGGATGAACAGCTTAGTAAAGAGGTGGAAAAGGGAGACAGAAGGAGGAAGCAGGTAGGTGTTGGGCTAACGTCCAGTGAGGTGATAAGATTGCAAAAAAAACAACAACCCTGCAGAGCAGAGAAAATGAAAGGCAAAGCAGAACATGGTTTGAACTCCATCCATCCATCCATCGTCAACCGCTTATCCTGCATACAGGGTCGCGGGGGTTTGAACACCAGTACTATTTAATTAGTAGAAGTAAGTTCACCGCAAAACAGCACTGCATTCACCAACAACAACCAATTATGGGACCGATTATTCCATTCAACTGTGCATCAATGCAGGGTTCAACATCTACTTGAAAAAACTCTTGGGTGGGCAAATCCATTCTATAGCACTATAAACACAAACTATTAACAGTAATAACTGAAATCTTTAAACATGACTCTCTCGGTCAAAACAAACCCATTTTCCAAAAAATAAGTTATGTTGCCAAATTAAAGGGGCACTCACTCACTCACCCATTTTACACAAAATAATGTCATCAGTTATCTCAGAGTGGCTTTTTAGTGGAATGCCTGCATGTAAAATTAGGGGAATAGAGTTTGAATGTGGGCAGGGAGAGTCTAATGAAAGATGGATCAAGTTGCATTATGGGGAAGGATCCAGTGTTTTTGGAGCTTGATCCAAGCTAGAGACAACAAATCAGGATATTCTGGCCTCTGCTACTTCGATTTTTGAACATAAATCCTGCCACTGAATTAAATGTATTCTTATAGAAAATAATATCCTGCCCTTTCCACTTCTTCATGTTCAGTGCAACTAGTCTTAAATCACTTTTATTTTGGAGGGGGCCTGTTTCTGTGAATGTGGTGACTCTACAGATGGGTTTAATAAACACAGTGAGACTTTGCAGTGATTAGACATTAACAGGCGTTACATAATGATCACTGAGAAAGGAGCACTAATAATGGCCAATAATCTTCCTTTTTGTATTGGCCAATGCTTTAAGAAACACAGAATCATCAGGATGGTGTTAATTCAAAGCAACACTTACATTTTGGAGGGCGGACTGAATACTGGCAGTGGTTGGATTGTCTTTGAGAAGTTACTCCCAAGATACACAACCCACACTATTTGACTTATCTTCTTGACCTGAGAGTGTTTCTCTTCCTTGACTTCATTTTTCTACCCCTTGCTGAGTCATCCAAAACTTTCCATCGACTACATGCTGTCTCTACTTACAATAGGCCTGGCACCCTCAGCACAGTTTTCTGTAAGTACTGCGTCACTGATATCAATTTTACACAGTGTCTAGTGACATCCCTCTGTTCTTGGGTTGCGCTCAGTTCCCTGCATGCTGATTGATCATCTCATCGCCTGTTAACTTTCAGTCTGCGTATGCCTCCTGCTATATTATCTTCCTAAATTTCCATTCTCGCAGGGGATTGATGTCTTTTCCTCCCTTCCTCTCTAAGCTCTTGAAACTCTTTAAACCCCCATCATAATGAGTGAAAACACACTTTCCTATAATCCTCTTTGATCTGGTTCTGTATTGTTGGGTGCAGAGAAAACAATACAGACAGGGAGAAGAGTTTATGGCTTGTTGAAACCATGGTAACAGTACACCCAAGGTGACATAATTATGCTGGTAAAAAAAAAAAGTATCTGATATAGACCTGTGGTAACTTGTTGCCCTAGCAACTACAGAAAAATAAGCTGTGTTGGTATGTTGTCTTGTCTTCTTTGCACTATGAAATCATTATAGCTGCAAAGGGATCTATATTCTCAATGTATTCATTTATGAGCATTTATAATATCTGTGGCATTTATAAGATGCAAATAAGACAGTTGAGTCAGCTGAGACAAGTGAGACTGATTTTGCTTCACCAAAATTAGGAAAAAAGACTTGGAGTAGATTAAGATAGGTTAAGTTCAGCATTTTCCATATTGCAAAATAAAATAGGGCTGAAAAGAAAGCCCTAAAATCTCAAGTCAACAAGCCTTTTAGCAAAACACTTCCCTAAATGCTGTGATGGAGCTTCTCACTGGGGTAGAACACAGAGGTTGTGCTGGGTAGCTGCAACTGGAAATATGACTAAAATAAATACATAACAGGGTGGTTCACTCAAGAATATGGTGCTCAGCAACTGTCTAATTGATAAATACACTACATGGTTGACACTAGATCATTACATTCATGTCTTTTTCCTAATGCTATTAGCATTATAATGCTTTTATCAGACTCCTAGAAAGTCTTCCCACAAAAAATGATAACAATTACTTTATAGACCTGGAGTTGTGCACTCGGGTTGTCATGCTGAAACAGGAGATCACCTCCACAAACTGTTGGAAGCACACTTTTGCCTGAAATTTGACCAAACCATGAAACACAGTCTCAGATCAGATTTTTGCATTAGTACCTTTAGTCATGTGATGAGAAAGCTAAAAGTAAGTCTCTATAAAAGGTTGTGTTTATAAATTACTTATTACCTATTTGTTGTGTAAAATACATAGGTAGGCCACATTCTTGTTAATAATAGGTATAAGAAGACCTCTACAGGTGTCTGGGGGGAACTGCAACATTGGTAAAACATCTCGAACATCTCTGAAAGAGCACAGCATAGAACATGGCCCATGCTTATCTTTTATTTAACCATTTTTTTGTGTGCAGTTTTTGTGCTGACAAACATACTTTGACATGCTCTGCACAAGGGATTTCAGGAAAAAGTACAGTATGCAATGTAGACTTTCTTTTGTCCAACTGCTCTCTTACCTGTGAATTTTCTGTCCCTGCTATAACATGACCCCATTTCATTCATATTCATTTACACTGTTCAATCACAAAGGTTTATTTGTACAGTCATTACAATTATGAACAGTATAAAACCTTCTGAACATGCAAGTCTTTATGTGTGAATGTACAGTATGTTATATTTGCTTAGTGCTCTATTTACAATTGGAAAAAACAAACAAACAATAAACATAATACAAATGTTACATGCATACGTTTATGAACAAAACCAAGAAGCACTTCTTCACAATGCATCACTTAGAAGATGTCATCCATCATTGGCCAGCAATGTCCCACATTCAAAACACTGCTCAAACACTAACTTCAACCTTTTCTTTATATACACTTCATGTGCCACAACTCAAAGCAGTACATTTTTTAATTGATAATCCAGCAAACATGGCAAGTAAGTCCAACTATCAGATCAGAATTTCCTTAAATAATCTACTGGGGGAGCGGATTCACGGCCCACCAATCCTAATTTGGAGCCCAGTGAATTATTAAACGACTTACGTAAAACCTTTTTCAACATTTAATATCACTCCAACCTTCTCTGTGTGCGTATAGTGACTTCATAATGCTGTATGGGACATGGGAGGAACCAAAATAAAAAAGGGGAACTAAAAAAGATGTAATTAGACAAAACAGCAGCAATAAAAACACACGGTGAGTCTTAAGGTTTTGGATGTGACGTACCTTTTTCACCTGAGATTAGATTTCTTTGTAACAGAGCAGAAGATGAGTGAGACCGAGTGGCACTTAGAAAGGCTTAAAACACTGATTAATGCTGACATTAAACAATGTGACTGAGAAAGATTTCATACAAACATACCTAAGTGACATATGAGTAGGGCTGGGCATCATTTGAAGGTTTTTCCATACTGGTGCTTACCCCAGTACCCAAGTTTTGGTAAAAATACCCAAACTGTATTCTTTCAATACCTTACTCTCTACAAAAACCTGCCGGGTTTTCAAAAGCAATTAAACTATATCTGATCAGAGAATAATCAGATGACAATAAGCAACAATTCTGTGCCAACATTCAATATGAACACCATTATGTCTCTACTCAGAGAGATCACTTCTAGGATCAATACCCAGCCCTACATCAAGCAAATATTCGACCTCTCTATCAAAAGAAATCAGAACCACAATTTTAACTAAGATAATTGTTTAAAGTGTCCCAGTGTAGTCAACCTATTTTTACAGTGTAAGGCAACTACAAACAGGAAAAATAGTGCTTTAGTTAAACGAATTGGCCATTTTGTCCAGTTCAGTCAAGGTTGTGAAAAAGGCAACATTGTCATTGCAAAGTAAGTCTCACACTTATCTCAGCCTTGCAATGAAAGCAGTCACACACGCTAAATGACAGAGCAGCATTACTCTAGTACGGACAGATTGTAACACACGCACTTCCATCTACTGAATATGATTTGTAGGGAAAATAAAAGGGTTTGGTTTAGGGCCTTGTAGTTCTTATTCCTTTACAAGTAAAGCTTGAACATTTAACAGATGCTACACTTGCTCTAAGTTGAAAGGCTATTTAAGGAACTTACGAGGAACCTCCAACATTGTCCTACACCACTAAAAGTGCAGAAAGGGATGTTGTTATTTAGTGGAGTGGCCAGATCTTAGTGTACTGTACAGTACCAAACACTGACGCAAAATAAAAATGACAAGCCACAAGAACTTTTAGCAGTCAGTCCGCAAAGGATTTTTGACATGGAC